CATGCTAAATTCGTCCCAAACATGAATATAATATGCTTGAGTAAATAATGATGGCGCAGTGCGAAAAGTACCGTCTGCATTCCAATGAGAATTTTCACTTAATAATTTTAAACTTTGTTCTGAAGCAAAAGCAATAACTTTATGTGGTGTTGATGTATTATAAAATAAAAATTCTTGTTGTGTATTGTTATAAATACATATCACTAGGAACTGTAATTGATGATAATAATGTTGGTGTTGGCGGTAATAGAGTTTTTCGAATATTATATAAAGTTGTTTTCCATGTTGAGTAAATTGGAATCAAACCAGCTGAACCATTGTCACGACGCTAAACTCAAGATAGACAATAGATTATTTGAGATGAAATAAAATAAAGAAATACTCACAAATTTCTTCACTTCTTCTTCATAAATCTTTCCAATTGGTTCGTTAATATCAGTTAATACTCTACGTTTTAATCCAGATAATACAGCTTGAACGTTTTCTGGTAATTTAGGATCATGGTTATCTGTTGTACCATTTGATTTTATAATTTCATTATCTTTTAGAGTAATAGTACGAGAACAAGATTTGAAAGTACATATATAAACTAATGAACCATTCTGATTTTCACGTCTTAACCCATACACATAGTTGTTATAAAGAATTGCTTTTTCACCTCTTTCAGTTGTTGACCAAGTAAAATTTGCATTCATCTTTTGAGGTAAAGAGTGATTGTTATGCCTATCCTTTTATATTTATACGATCAATAAGACACAACTCATAATCATCAATTAAAGCAACTAATTAATCAAAGTGTGCGCAATTAGGACATAGCCAAAAAAATCCGTCATTAAAATAATCCATTGAATGAATAGAAAAGTAAGTATTGACATTCTGATCAATACTAAACAACAGGATAGTTTAACGATGTATGCTAGTACCATATTGTATGACGAGAAAGTGTATCTTTAGAACACAATTATTGTATTAAGTTTAAGGCAGGTGCTTTATTTTTAGAAAAATACTCCGTCTGTCTGAAAAAACAGCTTCTGTAACTCTGAAACAGAAGTTCACTTGGAACGGTGTACGATTTTTCAAAAATATCAACTAAACATCTCTTGTATTCAGAGAAGGTGGGTAAGGATTTTCACGGTTTCTAGCAGTCAGCTGATAAAGCACTGTAAACTCATGTTAACCGACATTTGATAAATCAATTAACATGAAGCCAAAAAGGTACAAAAGTTTGAAGCCAAATTAAAATTATAAAATATATTAATCGAATTGTGATTTAACTTCTTGTATTGGTTTAATAGATATGTAATTGATATTATTGAACAACGATCTTTCATTCTTTTCAAAAATTTCATCATTACTGTCAAGCATATTCAAAAAGTGTTTTTAAAGCCTTCTTTAGTACAGATTTCAAACTTTTCTTAAAGGAAATCATTTTAATGATTCAAAAAACCATGATTCATCAATTTTCTTTCAACATTTTATTGCATAACTTTTAAAAATCTTAGTATACATGAATGATCAAGAATGATTCCACTTTTAATTGCTAAACAACAAAATTTAGAAACATTATTAATTATGAATATTTTGGAAAATAAAGATGGTCTTATTAATATACTTTTATATAAAAACGCTGATTTATCAAATTCAATATTAAATAAACGTGGAATAATAAAACAGGATGAAAATCACATAAAATTTTTCGATTTAAATCGAATCATTTTTCTTCTTTTTTATTTATAATTAAAAGAGAAAATATAAAGTCATGACTCTATTTCAATTTTTTTTTCTAGAATTAGTTGGTTATATCAATTAAAACTGATGACATACATGAATGTCGTCAAATGACAAAGCTTGATAACAAATTTTGTCGGATTCTCGTAGACAACAATCGCCATAATCCTCCAAAACATCTTTATTTGTGACAATGAGAATATGGTCAAATGATTTATTTTTAATATTAAAAAACGACAAATAAGTTTGTTTTTGGTCTGTTTAAAGACATTCAATTATCTATTCATTATTGTCTTTGTTGATCAAACTGTTAAACATGATAATATTTATATTATCATCAAAACAGTAATAAAGTATTATCACAAATGTATTATTTCCCTGTTTTGGAAACAGTGGTTAAAGTATCAGAGGTTATCAAACACAAAAGTTTCTTCTTTTACAAAACTAAATTATAATTATGACTGCAAAGTGAAAATAGCGACACTAAGAGGAAAGAAGATCTAGTTGAAGTTTTTGGTAAATATTATAAATCCGAGTTACTTCATGAGAACGGCTCAAAATCCAACACCTGAAATTCCTTTGCGTTTGTTGTTCACTTTTTCGATTACGTTTTCCACTTCTAAAATAGTACAATGATTCGGCGGCAGCAGTGCTTTTCTAATTCTCAATACCTCATTATAATATGTCATCGCTAATTCAACATTATTTCGTTGTTCAAGAATTAGATCTTGCAGCATGATATTGTAAGTGTTTTGTGTTTTATCAAATGTAGCTTTTGGCAGACTGTTCGAGTCTGATTCGCTCGGTTCATTTCTCCCACAGAATAGTACACCGATGTTCATTAAAGCACTAATTACTTCACTTTTCTCGTAATAGAGATTGCCAATGTTCATATACAACCTAGCCGTACTCAGGTGAGTATCAGATAACAAATTTTTTCTTATTTGTAATGCGATTGTATAACTTTCCAAGGCTGAATCATATTGTTTCCTTTTCAGCAGTGTCATACCGATATTTTTAAATTCGAGAGCCGTGAAGAGATTCTCTTTTCCATTCACTTTGAGAGACAAGTCTAATGCTTGGCGAAAGTATTTCGTCGCTAACTTATACTCTAGACTATCGTAATAAGTCATTCCTATATTATTGTAATCCACTGCCTCATTTGATTCATCACCATCTCTTAAATGTATTTTTAACGCTTCCCAAGGAGAAAAAAAATATCGACTATCGGGCGATCTAGCTAGCTAACACGATACATTACTAGATATAGCTAGCTAGCCCAATATGTTACTCGATATATCGACGCTCGGATTACTCACCTTTTTGTTTTGCAGCCACTGTACTATATATATGTAAAACATATA